CTGTCCATGACCTTTACTGTAAATATTCTTGACTAAGTCTTAGCTGGGGGAGGCCTCCGGGGGGCCATTGCTCTGAGGGGCCTCTGCAGCGCTGCTGCTCTGGGGGACCCCCAGGGCCAGCCCCACTGGCCACAGTTCAGGCGGTCCTTGGGGCCAGCTGCACCTGCCACTGCTCATGCGCTTTCCTGGGGCCAGCAGCTGGTGCGGCTGGCTGTACGGCTGCTCCCCACCTGAGTAGCTGGCTCTGGGGTCAGCCACACTGGCTGCTGCAGAAGTCACAGCAGTCGCAGAAAATCACAGAATCCATTGTTTCCATGACCTCCGTAACAGACATGCAGCCTTAATATCCTAGCTTTTTGTGTTCATTAAAACTCATTAACCGCTAATGAAACCTGTTTTGTTGCAATTTTCATAGATCCTTTGAAAATTTGTATAGAGAAGATATATTTTGTCTCACAAAACAATGATACAGAACCATAGTCTCAGATATACAGTTATGAGCAAATGCCCTATGATTAAAAGTAAGCCAAAATGAAAATGGCATTCCTGCTGTATTAGCACTACTTCTCAGCAGCCTTCCTAGGAGTAGCTACAGAGTCACCAGGCAAATTGGATATGAAGTTTGCCAAGGAGCCAGATGTCTCCTCTGTAAGATTGTCTTCCACAGACTAGTTTCTGGTTTTGTAATTACAGTCCAAAGAGAAAATGTATGACTTACTTTTATGAAGGATTAGTTTACTGGAGTATGGATACACAATATCCCACAGTATATGATCATGAAAAGGTATCCTAGTAATTATTGTTTTTAAATTAGAGTGAATTTCTTGAATTATCATTCTTTGTCTGCCAAAATCTGTAACTGCTATACGGACCATCTGCACAGTAAGACACTCAATTATAACACTGATGTTATTGTACCAAAATGTTCTCTTAATTAAGTATCATTCTGTTTGTGATACTATCTCTCTGATAATGCACAAAAGGTTAAACTCCAAAAGCTGATCACTTAAAAAAGTTGAGTGCAGTTGTTGTCCAGTACTTGTACAGTATTAATGAAGCATTTAAGAGATACAGGTTCTCGTGATCTGTGCAGGGAACTGGGAGCATGAAACTTCTGAGTTACAATCCCAATAGACCTTGATTCACCATGTGAATTTGGGCAAGCCACTTGAATTTCTCTACTTCTGTTTTCCCGTCTATAAAATGATTATAATACTTAGCTACCCAAGGCCCTGATTCAGCAAAGCACTTAAGCACATTATTGACTGTAAGCATGAGAGTACTGCCAGCCCTTAAAATTGAATATGTACTTTGCCCAACGTTGGTTATGCAGAGATTGATTATTTACTTAGAGCAGATTCACTGCTGTTGTTCAGATGCTTTGTGCTGCTCTGGGGATGGAAAGCAGCCATAAACTCAGTTTACTAGGCTTAGAACTGCTTTGCATCACTGGAATGGCAAAAAGCAGCTGCAGTATGCTGGTGAATTTGGTCTGTAATGTTTTTAAAGCAATTTAAAGGTTAAAATGATGCTATATAAATATTTATTTTAGTTGGATAGTACATTAGACAGTTTCATCAGTGAGAATGCATTTTAATTTCTGGAGTAAATAGGATATACACTGTAACAGCTAAGCCTGACATATCTGAGTTCCCTTTTGTTGCTAGGTGAGAAATGCTAGGTTTCTACAAGATTTCACTATTTTTCACTTTTGCTAAGCTTCCATATGTACATTTGTGGTCATAGGTTGTAGAGTGGCTTAGAAAATCATAATTATTAGAATGTTCATTAATATGTAACATTTCTTGAAATCAGAAAGACATTTGAAAAAAAAATAACCGTAGACATCATCTAAATAGATTATACCTACTAAGCTTACACTAAAAATATAAGCCCTGTCCACCGTCTCCAGTAGACGTGGTAATCGGGCTCTCTCCATAGTGAATTGTATATGTTTTATTACTTTGTTTTTGTGCCCAGAACTTCAGATTATCTTAATGTTGAAGAAATAAAAATAAGTAAATGAAATCTTGCTTATTCCCCTCTGTATGGAATAGGTCACATATCTTGCTGAAACATAAAAGTCCTTATTTACCACTTCTATACGTCAATTTTACACCATGACATCACATTGGTGTAATGGAATGAGGAGTCAGTCCTCAAACCTGTAGTATCTCGTTTCTATGTATGTGTAGTAAATGTACATACAAAAATATATTACATTCAATATTTTAATAGTCCAGTTTCTGCTCCTTTACACTTATGCAACCCTATTAAAGTCATAGGGTCTATCTGGAGAGTTAATGTGGTATTGTTTCATGATTTCTGTGTGTATATAAAGTCTGCTGCAGTTTCCACGGTAAACATCTGATGAAGTGAGCTGTAGCTCACGAAAGCTCATGCTCAAATAAATTGGTTAGTCTCTAAGGTGCCACAAGTACTCCTTTTCTTTTTGCGAATACAGACTAACACGGCTGTTCCTCTGAAACTAAGCTACTTTGGTTTACTCATGTTTCAAATGGGAGTAGTTCAAAGAGCACTACAGAACTTTTAGTGCATGGTACCCGGGACCACACAACCAGTTTGTCGATGGCAAATTAGTGTGGTATAGATTTACATTCCAGCTTGCTTTGGACTAGTTCTTTGTATAGACAAGCCCATAGATGTTGCGTAAGTATAACAGTGAGTGGAATTTGATTTTGTGTGTGTGTGTGTGTGTGTGTGTGTAAAAATAATAAAAATGAATTTGAATGGCTGTTTAATTTAATTTTTAACTATGGACCAAATCTTCAAAATAGTATGTGTATAAGTACAATGACTGGGAGCAATTTATGTTAGCATGCAGTTTTGGCCTGTAAGTAGTAAAAGGTTATAGAAGTGTAAGGAGTAGTAAAAGGTTATAGGAGTGCAAGGAGCAGCTGGTAATTAGTAAATGGAGGGCATTACCTCTGTGAATTAAAGCTTTTAGAAATAAGAACAAATCAGCCTATTTTAGCTTGCTGATCTGTCCTGTCATGCCTTTTTTTTCCCTTTTTTTTGCACGTCTGCTGAATTTTTCTTAAATGTCTGTTTGAGCATTCAGTAATTTCTTTTGTCTTAATTCTCATCTCCTTTGAGTTAAAGACAGTGATTTCTTTTGTCTTAATTCTCATCTCCTTTGAGTTAAAGACAGTGGGTGGTCTTAAAAAATTGTACTAGTTTGAAATGTCCCACATTTTACAGGGGCAATCCACGTTATAAAGACAGAGGATATCACGGGAATTGATACAATTTCTATCTTTTTTGAAAGATTCTAACATTTGCCCACAGTTTCATGGTTCCAGTGGGGTGTGATAGCAAATATGAGGGGGTACACTGGTGCATTGTCTTCCATTGTAAACCACGGAGTGTGTAGGCCCACATTTGAATTGTGAGTGCTTCAGTATATGGGCATCCAACTGGAGACATCTTGGGCCTGATTTTCAGAAGCGATGATTCAACTTCAGTTGAAATCAGTGGTAGCTGCAGGTACATAATACTACTGAAACTCAGGTGATTATTGGGTTGGGTACCCAAAAATAGTGAACATTTCTGAAAGTTTTGTCTTAACTTTTTGAGCCCAGTCCTGTATTCCTTGTACATACAAAACTCCTACTGGCTTTTGTTGGGAATTCAAAGACTTCAGGATTGGGCCCTAAATCTGTGTCTTTAGCTGGGATCTTTGCCATTCATGTTATGAAATAGAAATATGCTTTTTGTAATGAGTCATTAAGCAGAGTAAAACAGAGGTTTAGAATGTCAACATGCTCTATTCCTGTTAGATTAGTCTGTAACATAAGTGCTTATGCATGCTTCGAGCCCTCAGTTCTCTTTCTGGGAGTTTGAGTGTATAAGGTATACAGTCCTGCAGCCAAGCCACATAGGGTATAATTAACTTACCCTTCTCTGACTAAATGTTAAAATGATGTAAAATTGTTCTTTACTAATTGTTTTTGTGTCATTTAAGTGAAACTCTAGTTATTTACATAATCTTTTAAATGTCATTAAAATATTTTGAGATAGGACTGATAAGTCATGTGTTTTGTGATATTTTACTAATCTTTATAAATGGACCTAGTTAGTTTCCCTTCTAATCTAAAACTAATTTGTTCCAGGAGCTCTTAGGTTTAGACTTTAATACGCTGGTTCAGTTTGTCTCTCCTCATGTCCAACTTTTATGAGAACCATGGAACTTAATTGTACTTCAGTAATCAGACTTACTCACCAAATAAATTACCCAGACTTTACAGAACTGTTATTATGAGATATTCACAAAATTAACCTTTTTTTATCCTATGCATTTTATCCTATGCGTTTTTTATCCTATTGCATTCTTCGCTGAAAAATGAAACAATTTCTGAAATCTAGTTTGTAGAAATAATACAGGAACAGCGAAGTTTCAAAGTTGCAACTTTTTTTCTAATTGAGTGAATCGATTTTTTTTTTAATTCCTTTCAGGACATTTGAAACTACATGTAATGTCTCCCAGGGTTGAGATTATGCTCAAGTACCTGAAAAATAACAGATGCTGCTATGCTCTTCATAGCAGAGAATGGTGCTGTACACAGCCAGAAAACATCAGTGGAACATAACCCCAAGCAGCAAAATCATTGTTGAGATTGGCAAAAGAAAATTGTACTGTATTAGAGTCTATGGCTTTTCACATCTGCTAGGTTAGATCAGCAAGTACTGGCAACAGCCCATTCTGTAAATGGCCCAAATGTTTTCCTTCTGAGAATTTCACTTCAACTTAGTAAGCAAAATTTGTTCAAAATAGATAATATTGAGTGCTGAAATAAGTTACCACAAACTTTTAAACAAAAAACACTTGTGAAAACAAAGATTGCTTTCATTAATGTATTATTCACTTTTTAATTATTTGGACTGCAACACAGTAACTGTTTATATGTTTGTTTTAAAAGAGGTTTTCCTTTGTCCTAAAAGAAGTCCTGGTCCTTATTTTTCCTATTTTGTCTAGGTAGTAAAGAAAAAAAAATTCTTCCTCCCTGAGACAAATATGATAGAGCATCAAGTATGTATTTGCAAAGGTAAAGGTGGTATGACATTAATTATATTATATACATTAATTTATCCTATCTGAGGTTCAGTTTCTGGCTTGAGTGTATTATCTAGCAAATGGTATGGAGTTTTGGCACTGTTAATGCTAGTATAGTATCAGTACCAGTAAGTCTGAACTCTGATACAACAGGATGTATCCTTTGGTAACATTTATTAATTTATATGAAGTTATTAATTATTTCATGGCATGTTAATACTTCTCTTTTGGAAATAAATTGTACGTGCCATGTTTCCCTGGGAAACAAAATACTTAACCTTGCCATAACCTGTACCAGTTTCCAGGCAGCACAGATAATGAGATGTCACTTACAGCAACATAAAAGTGCCTCTGAATATTGGGAATCCAGTCCTCTGTCTGGCTTGTGGGATGTAAGGAAGGATTTATTAAATGAATAAAAGGTTCATTAATAAAGAAAAATCTCCTTTAATGCCCACATAATCCAATTAATAAATGTTTTGGAAGATAGTGGTCCATTCATTTTACTGTTTCGTGAGGAAATGTTGTGCAATACACAACCAGAAATGCAGGTGGAATTACAAGAAGCATACAATGTACTCGTGAAAGCACAAACAAAAAGACCAGCTGCTCAGAGACAGAAAATGTACTTCCTAAAGTGCTGATCTGTTAAGCTCACAGTAGCATTAGAAAACTGTAATGGCCAGAAATGATACTCCATTAATACTAAGATGATATCAATTTATCATCTAAGCATTTCACAACCATGTTAAATCTGGAACTAATACTGTTAGTATTATAGTTTTTCTTTCGCTAACACTAGTTGAATGCAAGTAGCAAACGTATCATAACGTGCCCATTACAGCTCAGTAAAAGCTCTTCCAGCATTCCGGTGTAAATGCCAACTTTGAAGGTTTAAAATTCAATCAGGAAATATTTCTCTGATTTGGAATGCAAGTTCTCAACTTAAGAGCAAATTTTCTTTCCTCAAATTAAGGCAACTATTTCAGATGACTGGTATATGGTCACTCCAGACCACTTAATGTGTGTTTCACACAAACATCTCGTACGCAGACTAGAACAACTCCTTGACAGTTACACAATTACTCCACTGAACACTCAGCTAGGGTCAAACTCTCAACCAGGTGTCGAACCAGCTTCTTAAGTTGTGTGCGCACATTTTGAGATATGTACATGCAAAACCCAAATTTGTGTGCATAAACAGGAACTTAAACTTGAAAATTAGAAGGACAGCTCTCCAATTAACATAGGAAATGTACTGCCTACCGGAAGGCCTGCCAAGAGAGTATAGAGAAGTGATGTCAGGGTTCCCTCCTCACTCTGAACTCTGGGGTACAGATGTGGGGACCCGCATGAAAGACCCCCTAAGCTTATTTCTACCGGCTTAGGTTAAAAGCTTCCCCAAGGCACAAATTCTTCCTTGTCCTTGGGCGGTATTGCTGCCACCACCAAGTGACTTAGACAAAGATTAAGGAAAAGGACCACTTGGAGTCCCTGTTTCCCTAAAATATCCCCCCAAACCCCTTCACCCCCTTTCCTGGGGAGGCTTGAGAATAATATACCAAATAAATAGATAAACAAGGTGAGCAGAGACCAGATCCTTGGGTTTTTAGGACACTAAAAACCAATCAGGTTCTTAAAAGCAGAATATTATTATAAAGAAAAAAGTAAAAGAAGCACCTCTGTAAAATCAGGATGGAAGGTAATTTTACAGGGTAATAAGATTTAAAACACAGAGGATTCCCCTCTAGGCAAAACTTTAAAGTTACAAAACACAGGAATAAACCTCCCTCTTAGCATAGGGAATATTCACAAGCTAAAACAAAAGATAATCTAACGCATTTCCTTGCTTTACTTACAATTTTTGTAAACTTAGATGCTTATTTCAGGTAGGGTTTTAGAAGCGTTTTTTTCCTGCCTGGTCCCTCTCTCTGTCCCGAGAGAGCGCAACAAAGAGAGCACAAACAAAACCTCCCCCCCACAGATTTGAAAGGATCTTCTTCCCTTATTGCTCCTTTTGGTCAGGTGCTAACCAGGTTATTTGAGCTTTTTAACCCCTTACTGGTAAAGGAGGGATTGTATGCTACCCTTAGCTGTATGTTTATGACAAGTGAGTTAAGGCACAGCAGTTCTTGGAAGCATGCTGAGCTTTCCCTCCCCACTAGACCTCTTGGGAGCCTCAGAGCTGATACATTAAGCCTTACTGCCTCCAGAATAGTAAGCTACATCGTCCCATCAGTAGGCGCTCAGGCTGGATGACTGGATGAGAGGGATGCCGCCTAGCTGAAGACAACATCTCTGCTCCTGCTTTCTTCCTCAGTCTCTCGGAGAAACTCTGAACTTGAGTTGGTGGCGCCTGCATTTCCTACAGAACCCTCTAGAGTCCTATTTTCTAGGAGGGCTGCGATCTCCCGCCCATTTCAAGCTATGTCCCGGCTGGTAGGAGTCTGTTCTGAATTTACCCACCTGGGTGAAATGCCTCTGTCAATGTGCAAGGCTAGGGCCCTGTTGGGATAAGTGCTTCAGTGATTTCTTTGGTAGGAATGTCTTCCCCACTGTAACTGCATTTCCTTCAGGTGGTAGCCTCTTTCATTGGGGCAGCTTTGGACCAACCTAACTCGGCTTTCAGGGTCTCACCTCAGTCTTTTGTTGCTCCGAGTTCAGTAAAGATTTGTTCACTAGGAGATCTGCTTCTAAGACACTTCAGTGTTCTGTCAGGTGTCCTCCAAATTATGATATGGCTGCAGTCTGTTACCTGTTTAGGCTTGGTCAATTTCCAGCTGTTCCTGTCATACTTATCCCTACCCATACTTGGCTGCACATATAGTCTATGTGCTGCAGTCAGATTTCAGTGAATAAAGGGTTCTGTGAATAACTAGGGGAGCTGGTCTTCATTTGGGGTTCTGGGAATAGTTGAGGGTGAGGGTCTATTTCTCAAACAGACTATGAGAAAAGGAGGATCACCAGCTGCATGAACCACCTCAGCCTGTGTTCACCAGCGTGGGATGAAGTTTGTGAATACTCTGAACCTTGAACTCAGAGCCCAGTTCAAGTTGGCTGAATTTCAAATCTTTTTTCCTCTTCTTTTTCTCCCTGAGATAAGAGACTTGAAATGAACTGCTTCATTCTAATTTTCTGCGATTAAAACGTTGGAGTTCCCTTAGTAAACCAAACTTTGTAAGAGACGCAGAGCACTAATACTGCTTACCCATTTTATAGGGGTGTTCTGAGCTTAATTAATGTTTGTAAAGGCTTTTGAGATCCATGGATGAAAGGCTGTTATATAAGTGGCTGTTGCTATTGCACTTGGAAAGCATATAAAGGGAAGTGCTGGCTTGATATGATACTACTCTGTGCCTGCTTCTTACAATCATATTTCGAACTTGGCAAGGATGCTAGTGTAAAATGTTCAGTTTGTAGAAATCGTGTGATGTTTAATTTTGTTCAGTTAATTTCCTGGCTGTGCTCGGTTGGTACTAGCTGACTTCTTCTAGGCCTTATCAACATGCAAACTTGCACTGGCTTAACTAAAGGTTTGTTTTAAAAGCAGCTTAGTTAAGCTGGCGCAAGGTTGTGTGTAGACACTATTCATTCGGTTTAAGAATGACTTCTTTTTGTTTAGCTTAATTTTTTAATTGCACCCCATGAATTAGTAGGTTTTTTACCAACATTGATATAATGCTAGCAACTAGTTAAGGTACTTAATGTTCACTTACCTTAGTGACAGCTCATAGAAATTTAAAAAAAAAAATCCACAGTCAAACTTTGCTTATCTGAGCATCAGATAAGTGAAACTCTTGCTTATTAGAAGGTCAGATTCATTATCCCAAGATTTGACTTCACATAACTACTTTCTATACTGCAGTCATGTTCCAGTAAATAAAGACTTCAACGCACAGTCAGGGGAGCCAGCCCAGGAAATACTTTCTGCAGTCGGAGTGAGGAAACATTATGCTATATTTCCCAGATCAGAGGACTTTGAACACGATCTTAAGTCTGCTGGCCAGTTCCCCTCACATAGCTTCCTCCCCATATCAGGATGTGAGCACATATGACTATATGCTGTTAGACTACATCCATAGAGTCTTATCTGCTGATGTTCTGCTGAGCCGACCAGGACTGGGAGAACAGAAAGCTGTTCATAAGAATGTGAACCAGATAACCGAGTTTCTGTTGTTAAAAAATCTGGATACCAGTGTATAATGTGTATTCTCGAAGTGAAGCATTCAGGTCTACTCCTGAGCAGATTTTTGTGTGAAAGTATTTTTCCATTAAAGAATCATCTGTTCCTGCAGCTCATTTCCTTTGTAAGTGTAGCCTCACTTGGTGACATCATCATTAGTTGCTATGGAAATAATTACAATGTCTGAAATAGAGTATTCTGATATCAGATGGGGAATAAGCAACAAGAACAGATGAACTGTTAAGGAATAGAGAGGTTCTTTGTTGATGTAGTTGGTAATCAAAAAATGGATCACTAAAGAATTGAGCAGCAAGTCTGACATACTGGATAAATTGCAGAAATGCTTTTCAAAGTTTTCCATGAGGCACCATTAGTGGGTCAATCTTGCAATCCTTACACAGGTAATCAGTTGACATCAGTAAGAGTTTTGACTGTATCAGAACTACGGGATTTGCTGCGTCAAATTATCGTATCTGAGGAAAGAGAGAAACATTTCAGGGTTTCTAAATGCCATCAAGAAATGTGAAAAAAAAATTCCTTAATAGCCAATTTTTTGTGGGATTTTCTCAAGAACAATATTTTTTTTCTATGCTGAGCTGGTGTAAATTGGCAAAACACCACTGGCTTAAATGGAGCTATCTCCTTTTGCGCCAGCTGAGAATCTGGTCAACAGTTCCCAGCACTGTGCCCATTTCTGGAAGATATAGATTGTAAACTCCTCAGGGCAGGGATTGTGTCTACCTCTGAGTTTGTAGAATGCTTAGCTCAATGGCTCTCTAATTCTGTCTGAAAGTGCAATTTTAATATAAATATTAAAAATAATGACAATATATAGGTTCAAAAGTGAGTTGGGGGAGAAGTTTAGTTCTGGAGAGAAATTAGCAAGAACATAAGAATGGCCATACTAAGGTCAGACCAAAGGTCCATCTAGCCCAGTATCCTGTCTTCCAACAGTGGCCAATGCCAGTTGCCCCAGAGGGAATGAACAGAACAGATAATTATCAAGTGATCCATCCCCTGTTGCCCATTCCCAGCTTCTGGCAAACAGAGACTTAGGAAGACCATCTTTGCCCATCCTGGCTAATAGCCGTTGAACATAAGAAGGATGAAGCTAGCAGTGAGGTTGTTTTATAAGGAAAAGGTCAATAAAGAAGAGAAAGGGGCCAAGAACAGAGGTTTGAGAAACTTTGTGACATAGTATGTAAAAGGGGGTAGATGTAAATCCTCCACCAGAAAATGTGTTAGGGAATTGCCAGAGAGCAAAGTGCAGGAGACATTAACTCATTGACTTCTGCTATATTGGCAATATAAGAAATAATAATCTATGCCTGTCATATTAAAAATGACAACACTGAGAGGTGTGGTCATGGCCGGGAACAATATATTTTATTTCAAGATTCTTGGGTATTGCAAATATGCTCAACAGAACTCTTTTAACTTAAAAAAATTATGGTGGAAATTTTGGTACAAGGTGGATTCTGTATTCTGGAAATCTTAATTTGTCTAACTATAACTACATTGTTAACTGTACACTTTGTACCTGCATGTCACCCAATAGCCATCTGCAAACTGAATTTAGGTTTGGAAACTGCTGTTCACACGCATTTCCTGTTTTTCTCAAGTCTGCTGTATGTACATTGCTGGCAAATGTTTCTTGAAGAGTTGTTTTTTAATAGCAGTGTATAACATTATAAATAAACTAGTGAAGGCAGTCATGGGCTGAAGGAATGTGATGATCCAGCTTACTTAAACTCTTCTATATTGTTGAAGTTTTCTTCTGAAAGAAACTAATCTTCATAAATACATTGTTAAAAATGAACACCACACTGTAGAACTGTCTATTCTCTTCCTCTTTAAATTGTGTTCAATGACTTTTCAAAGGTCTCTGCTCTTTCCTCTCTCCCCATTCCCAGGGTTTTCAGTATCCTACCTATCCTCCCATTTTTCTAAAAATTCCCATCTCAGAGACCTCACAGACACCATTCATCTGACTGCATAGAAATTTCATGTCCTCAAGAACCACTGAGATAATTTTTAATCATGGGTATATGCGTGTGTGTATGTGGAAGGGGATCACTTCAGAGAGAAACTTTGCCACAGAGTAAAATATTCTTCCCAGCAGTCATCTTTCCTGATTTTTTGCTCTTTGCATCTGGGGTGATTTACTAGTAATAACTAGTTTGACTGATATGCTCTTCTGCACAGAAACCTCCAGGAGGAAGGGACAAAAGTCCACAACATTATCTTTGCAGAGTTTTCTAGCAAATTTTTACGAAGGCTGGGAAACAGGTTCCCCTTCACAGACTGAACAGGGAGTTCTACCCCCCATACCTATGCCATCCAGGGATCCTAAAGAGATCATTGCCATCCATGTGGAAGGTCACATGGTGTGTCTCCACCAATTTAGTCCTGGAGGACCCATTAAATCAACACCACGGTGAATTCCCGGCCCTGTTGAAGTCAGCGGGAGTCTTGCTATTGACTTCAGTGGGGACAGGATTTTACTTCAAGTCTCCTGTCCCAGGACCCCATTTTCTACATCATTCCTGACAGACACCTATTAGTAAGCAGCTTCTTGAAGGGAGTTAGATTAGTTTGCCATGCTGCCCAAGAAATTATTTCTCTCTTGCAGTCTCAGTCTGGCTTGAAAAGGGTTCATCATTGTCTTTTCAACCCACTAAATCCTGTTTCTTTGTGATTGGTTAAAGGATGTTTCTGACAGGCAGAACTGGTGGCTGTGCCTTGCAAGTCTCCATTGAGAAGAGAGCACTCTCCTTCCTTCCTTCCATCCTAGTTAAGAAATCCTCTAAAAGATTAGACTATCCTCTGTATGTATTTATGCCTGATGTTCTTTGTCCCTAGAACTCAGGAGAATAAAATTCAACTAGTAGAACTAGTATTAAAGAATCATGCAGAGGTTCTTTGTCCTATGAATAACTACTTGCTTTACTTGAGGGCTAGCTGCCTCCTGGGCAGAAAGGGCATCATCCTCTGTCCTAGAGATATGCCATGTCCTACTCAATGTTCTCTTCACACATTTCCCAGGTACTACTCAGTAGAAATGATTGCCTCCTGGGAGGATGCCTCTGGATGCCTTGGAGATCCTTAGTTCAGTGATGTGAGTCAAGGTTGTTTTAATCCTCTCACATTTCATCTTGGGTCTTCCAGGTGCAGGAGAGCTACAATTAGACAGATCCCATTAGTACCAAATCTGGGGAGACTTAAACAGAAATTAATTGCATGTTACCGCTAAACTTTTCTTCTGTGAGAGTTCCAGTTCCTTGTAATGAGGACTGGACATTTCTAGCATGTGTGTAGTTTATTTAATAGGGTAAAATTAGTCATTTTCTATGGAATTCCCAGCTAATTTGGTGCAGAGGTTGCTCATAGGGTAAGGTGGCAAAAATCCACCTTGGGGGAAAGGATCTATCTACCTTTGTGGAGAAAAGGGGAAGGAGTAACCTATTAGTCTCAGGCACTGTGCAGGTTTTCAGAGGGACACAATGTACAAGTAAGACAAACTTACTTTCAGGTCTGAAAAGGCAGATCCCTGAGAACACCAGATTCTTTTTCATGTGGTGGCCCAGCAGGCTCTCAGCAGGAGGCATCACAGCCACCACTGAACGTCACCTGAGCCTGATCATAGGCAAGGTCTGATTGTCTCTCAGTATTGCATATTTTTAAAGTCCAAAATATTTGCGCATTATACGCTGCAGAAAATGAATATAAAGATATTTTTAAAAGCAAATTGAAATGCACCATATTGGGAAAACGAACTGACTTGCTTGGTGCTGGTTGACAGGCTCTAGCACGGTTAAGTGGTGGGAGTTAAAGCAGAGTGCATATTAGGAAGGAGGCAGAGGTTGGAGGAAGTAAGAGATGGGGGATATAGGTGTTCACTCTGCAGATCTGAGTATAAACACAAATTGTAAGGAATATATGTGTTGCAATGCTCCCTGATGCTCTTTATGTGGAGAAGTAAGCATGTAGCACAGGGGCAAAGCTCTCCTCTCCGCCCTGCACTGTGGACCTCTTCACTGCACTGCATAATTGTATTGTTATTTTGCATTTGTTCTCACATGCCGAAGTTCTTTTGACACTGTTTGCTATTCATTGCTAGTGCAGATGGATACTTCAGTATTGTTTGCCTTCATCCCAAGAATACAGTGTTACCAGGTGTTTGTTTTCTTTAAGAACTGCTTGAGATTCCCTTAATCGAAGAGGAAGTGCAAGAAACAGAGTCATGGGCCAAGCCTCTTGTCCACCTTTGGCAGAAAAGAGCGCACAATTTCATTGCTGAAAAAGAATATAATGCAGCTGCAGCCAAAATGGAACCCCATTGTGCCATTTGCACTCTCCTTATGCCCTACTACAAGGTAAGCTGGATTCAAATAATTCAGTAGTTATTTGGAAAGGAGTCTTTAATGTCTCTTTTATAGCTATGCATGACAATAAAATTAAATGATGCAAACACTAATCATTTTAGAAGGTTAATTTGTGACATGAAAAGGAAAGGAAAAATTCATTTCTAGCTAAGACTCATTAGTATAGAAAATGAAGTATTAATCACTACATAAGGGGTAAATGATCCACCAGCCACAGTAAATAAATTTTTCAAGAAGGATTTACTGGCAGGCCTCCTTCCAATTTCCTCCCACAGCCTGTGGGTAGAAGGTGGAGTAGCTGAGTGGCTTCTTCGTGGCCTTTATCACAGTCCACAGGCTTGCAATAAGCGCTGTATGCTCATTCCTTGTAGGGGAGACAGATTTGAAGACAGCAGAACCATGCAGTTGCAAATCCACTAGTCACTTCCTCCCCCACCCCCAAAATCTCTCTCTTCATTACTGTGGAAAGAAAATTATTCAAGGGAGGACAGAGTCTTGCTGTTTGGCCTTTTCCTGGTCTGCAGCACTGCAGAACCCCTGTGATTTAATGGTAGTTGGGCCTTTTGGGCAACAACAGTTCACCCAGTGAAAACATCTAGTCTACAGTACTGTTTGATATACATTTGTGGAAATACCAATAATGAATGTCAGGTGAAAATTCTGACATAGAATCATCGAGTTTAAGATAGAGGGGACCACCAAATCATTTAGTCTGACTTTTGTGATATCACACTGACGAGCAGACTGTTGTCATAATAAACTCCTTAATATGAACAGGACGTAGGTACAGAAATGAGATGATAAACTTTCTACTACTCTCTGTAGCTGCAGCCTGCAACTGCCTTATCCTGGGCTTCTTTGTTACTGCTTCCCAAACTAAACACTGTATCTAGAGTGTACAGGAAGTTGGGCATCTCTACACTTCCTGGAGGACTTACTGTACAGCACATCTTCCCATTTTTAGATCCCTTTTTGAAATTTCCTGCCTGAACTAAAACACTGTTAAATTAAATACACTAACTGACCTAACTCTTCAGGTTGCTAAACACAACCTTAAAGTGTCTCGATCAGTCTTGTGGGACATTTTAGCAATCTTTCCAATCTGCTGTGTTGCAAAGCCTTCTCTAAGGTTCTGTCTTATGATCAATAACAGGGTCAGTTTGGGAATGGTTTTCAACTTGTATGTCTGTTCTCACTTCACTTGTCCCAGCCAGGTTGCCAGGTACCTTGAGCAGATGCTTATTCCTTCATAAGATTGTGCTTTTATCTGTGGTCACTGAGTCCAGAGCGAGGTAACTCCTCTTTGATCATTGTAACTTTGACTGATCAAATTCTTACTATGTCTTTGTTTTTAACTATGGAAGAGGTCTTGCTCCTTTGTCATAATATTTTGTCTGATTGTACTTTCCTAGACTTTTTTCTCTCACTATCACAGGCTCTTTAGGCATCCTTCATTTGTATCCCATATTTGGTAATCGAATATTTCTACATCTGCTCTAAAGGAGTTCAGTAGGTGACTTTCCACATTGTGGTGATGTAGCTCTGTAACTGGAGTAGTGATAGATATGGATCTTCTCTTGCATCCATTTCTTTTTTCTGCAAGTTCTTCACTATACGAACTCCACATTAAGATACTTCATTGGCTTGAGGGTATATGGGACTTAATGTCTCATGCTGAAAGTCGTACATTTTAGCAAAGTCCAGGAATTCCCTGTTCTTGAATTGTAGTCCATGGTCAGTTACTACTATTCTCGAATAACATGCCAAGCAAATACAGATTTAATATGCCTGACAACAGTTGCAGATGTGGTATCTTCAAGTGTGACTGCTTCTCAGAAATTGGTTATAACCAGGTGATCATGTCTTCCCAAGTTGAACACATCAATTCCAACTTTGTCCCATGGAATTGCAAGTGATTAATTTTGCTCAGTTCTTTCTGCTGGGAATTTTTGTATTTCTGATGTAGCAGACCTGGCCCATCATTTCTTCGATGTCATTATTAATCTGCGGCCAGAATACAACTTCTCTAGGTCTTCTTTTGGATTTGGTCATTCCCAGATACCCTTCATTTATTCATTCCAATACTTTTCTTATCACTGTTGGCACTATGATTTGTGTTCCCTTCAAGAGCACTCCTGCAATCACTGAAAGCTGTTTTATAATGGGACTAGGCAGGTGGGAAGTTTTGATTTTTTTTCCTGTCTTACTTATCGTTTGTTTCATTGCTTGCAGCTTTCATCTTTAGCTGTTGCTGTCTCCAGTTCATCTCATATGCCTGGAGATACAGCATGTGACACTTACCGTGTTCACAGGTATATTTACTGGTTGTTCCAGGTCATCAAGCTGTGTATTGATACTTGAAGCATAAGTTCTTGATAGTATGTCTGCCATTACTAAATAGCATCCAGGTTGAAAATCCAGGGTCACCTAATACTTTTGTATTTTCGAAAGTAGTCGCTATATCCAAGGTGGTGCTTCTCCAAATCCCTTTTTGTGTATGGCAATCAGTGGTTTTGTTCAGCTTATGCTTTGAAGCTACAACCATAGAGAAAGCTGTGAAATCTTGGACATCCATACACCAGACCAAATGTCTTTTTTCAGTTTATGTATATATCTTCTCTGTGGCATATAAGAGTGGCAACCAATCAGTTCCATGACACTGGTCTAGTACTGCTCCCAGCCCTCCTTTCAAAGTATCTGTGCAGAGCTTGATGTCCTGCAATGAGTCAAAAAACTGCAGCACTGGAGGTTATGTGAGAACCTGCTTTAAATCACTGAATTCCCTTTTATGCTCTGTTTCAGAGGAACAGCCGTGTTAGTCTGTATTCGCAAAAAGAAAAGGAGTACTTGTGGCACCTTAGAGACTAACAAATTTATTTGAGCATGAGCTTTCGTGAGCCACAGCTCACTTCATCACATCTGATGAAGTGAGCTGTGGCTCACGAAAGCTCATGCTCAAATAAATTGGTTAGTCTCTAAGGTGCCACAAGTACTCCTTTTCTTTTATGCTCTGGCATTCATGCCCATTTGGTGACCAGGTGGAGCACAAGTCTTAGGTGAGTTGTGCAAGCTGTATAGTTAGATATGAACTTGCTGAAATAATTCAACATGCCTAGAAGTCTTTGAATTCCCTTTTTATCTTCAGGTCTCAGCATGTTCAATATTGCCTGAACCTTTGATTCATTGGGCAAGATTACCTTCGAGGTCAGTCTCTTTCCCAACTATGTTGTTTTTGTTGTTTGAAATTGACATTTGGCCGTATTGAGTTTAATGTTATTAACTCTCACAGTTTCCAGTACTCTCCTCGGTTATTCCTGATGGTCAGTGGCAGTGCTGGCCTATATTATTAGGTCATCCACAAACACTTTCATATGTGCTACACCCTCTAGGAACTGGCTCATTGTATTGTGAAATATTTTTGGAGCTGAACATGTTCCAAAAGGCAGTCTGAGGAAGCAGTATCTGCCAAAATGGTCTGTTTGAAGTCAGATCTTGGAGCTCTCAGTGTCCCAGGGGATCTGCCAAAATCCAGTGATACATTTAATTTGTTGAAGAATTTGGTTCCTACCACCTGATAGCAGTTCACTTCTTGAGAGCAAGTGGAAGTGTTCTCTTTTTATGGTTTTGTTCAGCTCCTTAGGGTCCATACGCAGCCAGAGTCCCCTCCTTTTTTTCTCTACGGTTCCTAAGGAGTGAACCCAATCTGTCAGTTCTTTCATTCTCTGAAGGATACTATTTGCTGTCATGTTTTGAAGCTCTTAAGGCTTGGGGAACTTTTTGTATAGTGTGTACCACAGGTTCTTCATCATCTGTTTACTGTATCTTGCATGTTACTGGGAGACACCCATTTCTTGTGAATACATCTTTACATGATGCTATTAATACTTTCATATCTTAGTCTAGGTTGTTGTTCTGTCTGTCTATGTCAGGGGTAGGCAACCTATGGCACGCATGCCAAAAGCGGCATGCGAACTGATTTTCAGTGGCACTCATGCTGCCCGGTTCCTGGCCACCTGTCGGGGGGTGGGGGGAGACTCTGCATTTTAATTTAATTTTAAATGAAGCTTTTTAAACATTTTAAAAACCTTATTTACTTTACATACAACAATAGTTTAGTTATATATTAAAGACTTATAGAAAGAGACCTTCTAAAAATGTTAAAATGTATTCCTGGCACGTGAAACCTTAAATTAGAGTGACTAAATGAAGACTTGGCACACTACTTCTGAAAGGTTGCCGACCCTTGCTCTTACGTCATACATCCTTCTATGAGACCAAGCATCTCACACCTGTGTAGGTCCAAGACTGGTTGTTCGCTTCTGCCACAATCTCCTGTCCACAAACTCTTTTTTTTATTGTGTTCACTTTGTATTTAAGTGTCAGCATGCACTCTCCCATCACTGAAATTGTTCCCCATTATAGTCTTTCACAGACACTTTTTACTCCTCCACAGTTGTTTTCCTTCCATATCTCTCTTTCAGTATTTGTTATTACATTTACTTGTGCCCTGGTGTCCATATTGTATGTCACATAAGTGCCATTTGTGCATGTCAAGAGGTGGCTCCTCCTCAAGTGCCCTCTTATAACAGGCTGCAGCATGATAGGAATGTCTGCCTCAGTTTCCCCTCTGAGGCAAACCAGGGACTCTATGCCAAGCTCTCTTGCCTCAGTATTACCCCTTTTGGGGGCTGGTGTTTGTTTGTTTGTTTGTTTTTACAAAACAAACTGCAAATAGTCTGCAACAAAAGTTCCAAAACACAGTCTGTTTATCACCCAGTGAAAGCAGTTATTAAAAACCCATTCCATTTTGTCCCTTGACACCCCACATACCATACAATGGAACCTTTTGCCACACCTGGACTCTTTGTCAGTCCTCTTCCATCCCTCGTTGCCAGGACAGCCTGGAGTGCAACCCTGTTCCTCCTAAGTGAGAATTCCCACAGCCTCTCTGCTGGGAGATTATCCTCGCTAGGGGAGCAGCCTCACTCCCCCTGGTCCATTTGCCTTCTCACTGTTCCTCTGGGTGCAGCTCTCTGTTGCAGAGACATCAGCGGGTCCAGCTTTCAATGATGGAGATGTCCGCAGGTAACTTCCTCCAATACTCCCCAGCCTTCAGCCTTTTCTGGTTCTTGGCTTCGGCTCTCCAGCTTAGAGTCAGCAGGCACCTCCCTCTTTTGCTCCTCCTATCTTCAGCCCTCTCCAGGCCTCTGGTGCTGGCTCTGGGAGCTCAGCCAGTAAACCCCTCTTGCTGTTATTCTTGCCTTCAGCCTTGCCCCAGAAAACATCTTCTTCCTTTGGTAGCTCTCATCTCATGCAGATTTCCTCCTTCCAGGCAACCCTGACTCATCAGATCTCTCTCACTGTGTCTCTCTGGTCCTTTATAGCTTCCAGGAGCTGCTCCGCCCTCTTAATTGGCCAAATGGGAGCACCTTTACTGGCTTAGGGGAGAGGTGGCCTGACTTCATTTACTGGAGCCAGCCACCTAGTGATAGTGCACATTTTAATTAATCAGTCTGTTGCATTTTCATATTCCTCCTTCTCTTTAAGAACAGCTCTTCCTCTTAGTTTGAAGAATCCATTTTTGTACTTAATACATGAAACCTGCACTGTCTCTGCACATTTTAGTGTAATGGTTGGATTTATTATAGTTTCCACATATTTGCCCGAAGGTTGGACATTTACTATACTTTTGTTGATTGCCACATCACTGGCTTGTTTCCTGCTTTCCATTTTTCTGTCACTAGTCAGTTTAATTTCTGTGAACTTTCCCCTTGCTGGCTTAATTATAGTACTGAGTCATGTGCTCTGTTTCTTTCTCTAGGTTTTTTATTTGTGCTTCTGTTTGTTCTGGTGCTTGGCATATACATATTGCCCTTTCTAGTGTCAGATCCGTCTCCCTTAGTAACTGTTCACAGATTCTTTATTGTTACACCCCAGGACAATCTGGTCTTTAATGAGAGTCTTTTAATATTCCATACTCACAGGACTGACTTTTTAGTTTTAAGTCTGTGACAAACTCCTCTATTGTTTCCCCTTCATTTTGTGTTCTCATTCTAAATACATCTCTCTCATACGTGACATTTTTAGAGACACAATGATTTTCAAACAATTTGGTTATTTTTGAACATTTCCTCTCTTTCCTCACCACCATCTGTATGGAATGCATTGTATACATCTAGGGCTTTGTGCCTGGTACTGTTAATCTTTTGCTCATCCTCCAGTTTATTTGTCCCAGTGGCTTTCATATGCAGCTCAACTTGCTGCTTGAATGTTTTCCAGGCATGTTCAGCATTTCCCCTCATTCTCAGTGCTGGTGTGGGGGAGTTATGTGCAGTTGCACAGACTGTATAGCAGCCACTGGGTCTCACTGAGTTATGCTGTGCCTTCCACTCTTGGCACCATGGATTATCTCACTGCCAAGGAGACCGGTGTCACAATAAACCCTTTATTATGAACAGGAGTATATACAGCAATGAGGTAACAAAATTCTCATTACACTGGAGCTGCAGCCCACAGCTTCTGCTTTTACAGTGTGCAAGAAGTGCGGCATCCCTACACTTCCTGGAGGACTTACTCTACGGTGCACCCTCCTGTCTATCACAGGCTGCTAACACCACACAGCCACCTCCACACACAGTGCACATTTGCTCTGTCACACCGAATGCTTGCAACTTGCAACAATATTAAAGCTGAATCTTGCCCATCAAAATATTTTAAAAATAACATCCTTGGAATGGGACACACATAAGTGCAGTACATCTCTTCATATTTAAGACAATAATTCGTACATGGTTTTAGTCCTGGCTTGGAGATCACTGCTTTGGTACCCTTTCCAAATGAAGTGAAATTATCTTTAAAGAAAGAGGCATCGGGCAGGTGCAAAGGATTTTATTGACTCCTGTGTTTGTTTTAACTATTGGGGCTTTGCATTTTCGTAAATGAATGGATCCAGTGTAAAAGTGAGACATAGAGTACCAAGTACAAATCATGCTAATCTGAGCACAATAAAAAGAAAAATAGTGTTTGCTATCATTTTAGCCATTCCCACTTCTAGCAGAGCTGCCAGCAAAAAATGGTGATGTTTACAGCTGTGTATCATAGCAAATATAAAAACGTTCATGAGTCAGGCCATTCTTACCATTTTTGTGAATTAATTTCATTTTGAAAGAAATAAGCACAGTGGAAAATAGCAGCAGATTACTGGTTTGATAAGCTCTAGAAAGCTGCAGATGTTTGGCTGCACAGCAGACTGACCTATAGTATAGAGAGCAGTGGTGCTCAAACTTTTTCAGTCACGCTCACCCCTTACTAGTAATGGAGACTATTCGTGTCCCCCCTCCCCCATTACTGCATAGCCAAGGCATTCTCAGCAGAGGAACTTGGGGCTGAAGGTGGAGGTGGGGACGGAACTGGGAATGGGGCAGGATCTGGAGCCAGACGTGGAGCTGGTCTGGGGGCGGAGAGGGGATAAGGGCAGAGCCAGGCTAGGGATGGAGCAGGGGGTAGAGTGAAGCTGCGGCTGTGGGTGGAGCTGGTCTGAGGGTGCACAGGGAGTGAGGGCAGAGCTGGGCTGAGGGCTGACTGGGGTTGAGGGAGGAGTGAGGTTGGGGGCTGAGCTGGTCTGGGGGAAGAGCAGGGCTGGGAAAGTGTGGCACTGCCTCCCTGCCCCTGCCCCTGCCTCCCTGCCCCACCCCCAGTGTGTGCCCCTCCCCAAACGTTCCTCTTTGCCATCTCTAAGGTGGCACACTCCACAGTTTGGGGACCAGTGGCGTAGAGGGGCAAGGTCTGTTGAGTTAGGTATGGCAAGCCTTTCCTAACGCAGAAACCCTGCAGTTCAGTGTCTGAGAACTGTAGAGCTTCTCATGAGACGAGAACTCAACATCTCAGATGCTCCCCAGAACTATATATCCCAGACCTGAGCCATCACTCCCACCAACACTGCACAGGGTATAGAATTTCTGAAAGTCCTTGAACTAGAATAATTCCTTTGTGTGAGCACTGGTCAGAGAGGAGTAAAATAGTCCGTGTACCAAATGGGAGTCAGGGAGTAGCTGTAGCAGTGGGGTGGTAATTTGGTTTTTCCCATGCTGCTGGCCAGGCGATTCTACACTGGATCTTCCTGCTGCCAGTGAGGGAGCTCCTGCCCCAGGACGGTTAATGGCAGGACTCCCTTCTTTCCCAACTGGAGGTTGTATGTGGCAAAGGAAGGGATACTCAGACATACATTGCTACTTTATATCTGGCTGTGCAGAAAGAGGCTGCTTTGTTGAATTATCCTACCTGATTGACAGGAAAAGAGCCTACTACACTCATATTAACAGGGCACACTAACCTACTCCTGGAGTTTGAGGTGCAGCAGCTTCATAGTTGAATATGAGCTGGATCGGGCCCAGAGGTCTCAAAATTGTAGTGCTAGCGAGGATACAATAAAGTGAGCACAGCTGCAGCAGCACTAACTTTCAGACTGCCAGAGTGCTATTTTTAATTTAAGACCTACCAAAATAATCAAGTAACTGTAGAAAATGGTGGTGGTGGATGCTTTGGAAACAGCTAATTTTCTTTTGAAACTGTTAAACCATTAGTGTAAGAACTGAAGGGGAAAAGTGTGTACACCCAAGTCAAAGTAACAAATAAGCTTTTTGTGTCTTTTAGTTAAATATAAATATTGTGTATTTCCAGCCAGACAACCATAATGAAGAAAATTATACTTGCTGGGAAACAAAATCAGATGAGACATTTACGGCTGGTGAAAAGACTAAACCACTTATTCCAGAGATGTGTTTTATTTATAGCGAAGAAAACACTGAAAACTATCCATCAAATGCCTTTATTGAAGAGGATGGAACAAGTCTTCTAATATCCTGTGCAAAGTGTTGTGTACAGGTTCATGCAAGTAAATAAACTAATCACTCAATTTAAAGAAGTTGTGATTTACAATTTTGCCTTCTTAGCTTTATTATGGTTTTTGAATAGGAAGCAACATATACTGAGTCTATTCAGGACAGTTTTATATGTAGTCCTCAGAATTGTTAGGGTAAAACTTTATATCAGAACTTCAAATATTCCAGGAATTGTTAACTTTGTGAAAACAGCAAATAATTGGAACCCCGTAAATATTAGTTAACCTCATTATGGAACAGACCAAAGCTTTATATCTACAGTTTGCAGTCTCATCTGCTGAAATCAATCAAACTTAGCATAATAAAATACCTTTGCAACCATATCACCTTCTTCTGTGATCCCACTAGATTTCAAAAGTCAGGGCCATGTCAGTACTTAAATGGGAGACCTCCAAGGAATACTTTCATTATTAAATAGATGGTGCCCTCCTTCTAAGTCAGTATTGAACCAATAGCCCAGCATAAAAATAGGGAAAGGGATGATGCTAGAGGTGCCATCTTTCAGTTGAGAAGTAAAACCAAGGTCCTTGACCACTTGTGATCAATAATTGTCCCATAACACTTTAATTAACTATATGGGCATTAGCCCCAGTGCCCAATCTTTCTCCAGTTATTAATGTGTGCCTACCTGCAATTCCTGTATCCATTCCTTTGTGTAAAATTCACCGTGAACTTTTGTTAGAATAACATGTTCTCTTCCTATTCTAAACTGTTGTTTAGTGTTGTGTTGCCTTGTTAAATAACTAGGGTGAAGCCCTGACCCCACTGAAGTCCATGGAAGTTTTGCTGTTAACTTCATTGGGGCCATAATTTCACCTCTGATATATTCTTCCCCTTTTTAGAAGTGTCAGGTGGAGTGATTTCCTATTTTACTTCAGAGAGGTGCTGGAACTTAATTAGTTAATGTTGGTATAGCACATTGTGATCCTCCTATGTAAGTGCCATATAGTTGAAAAGATTTAGTGTTTCTTCATTTATCTGATTTTTAATTGTTTTCATATGGAAAAATATAGTGCCTATTACTGGACTAGCAGAAACTAATAACATTGAAGGTTCTCAGAGTTGAGAACTAGATGAATTGCTACCTGTGTGTCCCATAAGTTGATTATGCAGTAGCATTAGACTTAACCTGGGAAGGGGCTCATTATTTTGTCATTTTGGTCACAAGGCATGTGTTATTTTAGTGTTTGTATACAGCTGAATTGTGTAGAGTGATAGACACCCAGAAGGGCAGAATATATTAGTCAACCCAACTCTCTTATTATAGGTTGTTACGGTGTTCCTTCTCACGAAGTCCATGATGGATGGCTGTGTTCTCGATGCAAAAAAGGAGCTTGGACAGCTGTAAGTTGCATAGTTTATTTAGTTATCCTACTCCCCGCAGACCAACAAAAAAAAGCACTCAAGGTATTGTATCTGGAATGCAGTATACAGGGCTGGGTTCTTCTAAATACACCACTTATTGCTGGTAACGTGGGGTGGGGGTTGCGTCTCTTTTAACAATATTATTAGATTTAAATGTAAAATTTCATTGTTTTGAGCAAGAGAGCCTTGAAAGAATTTTACATTGTCAAGAAAATTGCTAGCAAGTAGATTATATTCTTTGTAGAAAATTGTCCAAGAAAGCAACCCCCAAACTTTGACTAGACATCGGAGGGAAAAGAAGTAATGAAATATACTCTAAATATTTTAGTCCTGGAGAATGTATGCATGGGAAGCTGGGGAGAGCAGAGGAGGGAAGCTGAATAATAAATTATCAGCAAGTATGAAATTGTTCTTTCAGAGCATTTATGGATTTACACCAGTGAATGGTCATAAAATATTTCATATCTCAAACCATATATGCATATTGTATGATCAAAAAAGAAAATAATGCAGGGACTAAATGTTATTGGAAATAGATGGATCCTGTCCTTTCAGGAAAATTGCATGTTTTCATAATCTTTTTTTTCAGGAATAATATTTGATAAAGTGTAAACAATAATAAATTTTGTTAAGAAGATAGGTTATTTTAAAATAAGTAAAAATTCTACAGAATGTTAACATTTTTCCTCATGGATCAAGCAGATCTCTGACCCAATTAGTTTGCATTAACTCAAACAATGGGATTCAAAAGGTGGTTTTATAACCCATGTCTCCTATATAGGCTCATAGGATATTTTTCAATGTCTGCTCCTATTTTTCATTGTAACTGATGGAAGAAATGTAGTGTTCACTATTAAAAAGTTAGCAATCTCTATGCCGTGGTATCTAAAACACTGCAGTATTTCTCTGCATAGTTGCTGGATTTCTGATGCCCATAATGGCAACTTTGGGTAAATGCTGACTTTTTAGTTACAACCACTCTACTACTAAGGAATGGCCATTTATTTTTTCATTTAGCCATTCCATGTCCAGAATTTAGCCAATCTGCCTTCCCCCAACAAACTTCTGTTACATTTTATGGCAGTTGTATTCTCTGGGAAAGCATTTAATTTCATCACCCAGTTAAGAAATGCAAAGCTATAAGTGACAAAACTGATTAATGAACACTAACCTCCTGATTTAATGTGGTACAATCATTTCATTATTAATAAATACTTACTAAGTGTGATTTATATGAATCTAATGGATGGGATAACTGAATTGTAAAGCTATCTACTAAGCATTAACTAAACTTGATAAAGAAATATTGTCCCCTTTAGGCATTAGAAAGTTAAAGGCCAAACTTTGCAAATTGGCTGTCTACATTGAGCCTGGGAAATTTGCACATGTACCTATTGCACAAACAAACAAACATTCCAAGTAGGTCGCTACATACACACGATAAGCACTAATGCAGATTTTATTTTTGTGTATTCAGTGAGTGTCCACAGTGTAGATGTTACCAACTGACCATGAATTCCCCAGGTTTAAATAGGGGTCCATCTAAAAAAGGGACATTAAGAGCATGCTTGAGGCATGGAGGCAGTGTGGTTTGGAAAAGAGAGCACTGGCCTGGGACTCAGGATACTAGTGTTCTATTCCTAGCTTTGGCCTGCTGGGTGACCTTGGACAAGTCACTGCCCTTCTCTATGCCTCAGTTTTTCTATTTGTAAAATGGGGATAATGATACTGATCTCCTTTGTAAAGTGCTTTGAGATCTACTGGTGAAGAGCAAGGTATTATTATTATTATTGTGGCGATGCCTCAACAAGATATGCATTACTATGTCATTGTTCAAATAACTCCCTGTCTTGACACCTGGTGAGAGATATTATCCCTGGATCATTTCTCTTAGAGAGGCTTTTCCCCCAATACCTCCTGCTATGGTGGTTGTGGTCAGCTGGGACCCTGCAGTTGTATGTGCTTGTGTATTAACTCAGTGCAGGGCTAGAGTTAAGGCATTTTCAGTAGCAAGGCCTACACTCTGAAATTAACTCCTGGTGCAGTTCTGTCAGAGCACAAATCCTATTTTAGGGTGCGATGCAAGACACATCTCTAGGTTCAGGCTTTCCCTGGTAATACATATTGGATTCCCTAAGGCAGCTGGTCATCTCTTATCTGACTTCCGTAAAGAAAACTTACAGTCATGTGCCTTAGAAAAGAGAGTAATAGGAATCAGGGGGTGAAATTTTCAGATATTTTGAAGAAGACACAAGTGTCTGGAAAATGTGACATTGCTCACTGTGGTGGGGCAGCTTCCTGTCCCAGTCAAGAAGGGTTAAAGAGCTCCTCTCAACTTAGTCAACTCCAATCCCCTACTCCCATAAGGCCTGTCAGTCCTGGAGGTCCACAGACGGGAGGATCCTGGCTCAGGGGGTATAGGGGGTGGCATTCAGGCAGTGAACAGAGCTCCCTGGTCCCAGGGAGTTGTCTGCTGGGGAAACTGTTTGAGAGCATCACCGCCTGAACCCCCTGAGTAGTAGGTGTGGTGTACGTATTGACTAAGCTGAGTGGAACAAGAGGGGAAATAATGATTTAAAACTGACAAAAATACTGTCTGATTTATAAGGATGTTGTCCAGTGTTTGCTCAGTGCATAGTTATTAAAATGTGTGTATAGAATGGATTACTATTTCTGTAACATGTTTTCATGTTTCTCTTTTGCTGGTCAATGGAAAAACTTGTTAAATGCTTTTTATCAAACAATCAAGAATTTCAGGACTTCGTAAACTGCTTTTGTAATGGTTTTTCCAGAGTTGTGAGTGGGTGCGGGGAAAGGCAAAAGTCAATGCTAGCAAGTGACAGGGTGCCTTTAACTGAGAATCTAATTATCAGTTAAGTGAACAGGGTTAGACAGCCCTGCTGCTCTAACAAAAAGTTTGTCAATTTCCTTTCAAGAAAGGGACAGCTGTGGCATTTCTAAGTGTTGGGGTTGTAAGGCGAACATTCATGAAAATTCCCTGGGTGACTGCAATAAGGATGGAAAACCACATTGTTGTGTTCAAAATACTGAGAACCTTCAGAACATTTGCTTGAAGTCTGATATTAAAAACAACCTATACCTCTGTTATATACAGCAGTGTGACTTAAGGGAAAAAGCAGCGAGAGTTTACATTTTTTGTATGTAATAAGCATGTTTAATTATCAAAACACAGTGAGGAAAAGTATAAAAGAATATGAAATCCCATATTTTGTTAGTTTCATGTTGAAGGAAGGTAAGAAGTGAAGATCCTGAAACAGCTCCAGAGTTGGAGATTATTTAAGAAATGCTCCTATTTAAAAGCACCGGAGTGTCACATAACAGGGTGATAGGTGCAATATAAGAACATAAATAGTTAGATAATATGTGGTATTGTCATTTATTTCATATGAATGGCAGGTTGAGGAGGAATCCTAGGTCTTAGTAGGAAGTTGAGGAGGTGGAGAAGCAGGGTAGGCTTGGAGAGGTGTCTGGAAGCTAAGGAAAAGAGGGTATTGGAACTGGAGATGAGGAAGCACAAAGGACTTCAGGGTTTCTGTGTTTTCAGGAGTACATGAGAATAGTGATGTTTCTAGGAGAATAGGTGGTAAACCAGGGTCCATCTAGGAGATCAGTCTTATATTTTTCATTTGAAACCCTGTGTAAAATATGTAAGTGAACTTTTGTAGTTGTAGATGTGTGTCGATAGAAGTGTTGCAAGATTATTAGTGGTGACCACTTCATATTAATCTCAATACAGTTTGGTGACCTGTGTGAAATGAGGAGTTGGCCTCAGTGCCGTTTTTTTTCCGGATTTGTCTACTGTCTTAGTGGCACAAGTTGACATTTTGGTTGGGAGTATCAAAGATTGAATGGACATATTAATTGCTTTCTAATTTTTAGAAGTGGTCCCTTGGTGCTCTAGAAGCACATTGATAGGATAACTTTTGGAAATATATATTAGTGCTGCCTATTTATTTTAGCTGTTCTATGTTTACCTGGAAAATTTTCAGGGCTATAAATCTGGCATCTTTTATTAGCACTAAATTTACTTTAAACGTTTTCTCTTTAATCTAGCATTCAGTAGCCTTTATTACCACATTTAGCTTAGTTATGCCAATACAAACAATTTATTTTATTAGTGTGAGCTGTGGGACTTGAGAGAGGATAGATGCTGAGGTGAAATCCTGGCCCTGCTGAAGTCAGTGGCAAATAGGATTGCCAATTTTGGTTGGACGTATTCCTAAAAATTACATCGCATAGCATAATCTTTAATTAAAGATTAATATTTCATTCCTCTGGACTCCAGGATAGTCCTGGAGGGTTGTCAAACCTAAGTGGCAAAACTCCCATTGACTTGGTTGCGTGATTGAATGGCATTCTTAATTCAGTAAGGGGAAACATTTGTAATTTTACTTGGAGAAAATAAACTAATACTTATCAATTTCAAACACAACTTTAATAAATTACCATATTTGAAATTTTATTAATATGGAACCACATTGCAGCCATCCACATGATTCAAAGTATTGAAATTATTTTTGAATCCTATTTGTCATTTTAGGGTCATGTTTACAAAACTGTCTTTTTAATGTCTCTGAAATGATGCTAGATTATGCTCTTGGCTTTCTCCTCTAGCGATTATGACAATAACATAAAATCTCATAGTTTGCTAGTTTCATTTACTGTGGTTCCCTTTTAATTGATGCTCCTCTTAAAAGACTACAGTTAATTAAAATGCTACTGCCAGGGTTATTGCTCTACCTTTTAAAAATGTGCTACTCACAGTATTCACCACAACCTCTTCCTGAAAGCTTTGTTCTGTCTTTGGGTTCCACATATTTTACTTTCCACATATTTATTCAAGTGACACCGTCACAGGACCTAATCACATTAGCCACGCCATCAGGGGCTCGTTCACCTGCACATCTACCAATGTGATATATGCCATCATGTGCCAGCAATGCCCCTCTGCCATGTAC